ACATTCAGGGTAAAGTCTAGATGGCAGCTTGTGGTTTCCTATTTTAGAATTTTTGACTTGTTTTGCCTGAGCATTTTCTCCCCACCTAATAGTAAGTATGAGGTCTTTCTATTATTTGATGAATGGGGACTCCTTTCCTCTTGATGTCTATTTGGGAGGTTTACTCCTCTTGTATTCATTCTGTCACTGTAGGGATTAATGAAAACATATTTTGGAAGCTGTAAAAAGGATCCCTAAGTGTAAGCAGATGCTAAAGATAAATGATTATAGTGACAATAAATCATTTCCTTTGTTCCTGTAGGCCTCCGTATTTCTCCTACAAGACAGTACCTTCATAAATTGTCTGCTGGGAACATTACACTAAAAGTTTCATTTAAGACAAAGGAGACCAGAAATTTCTGTCATTAAAGATTTAGTAGCCTTGTCTTCTATACTCATAAAAATGTATGCACCGCACTTCTAATTATTTTTCTTGAAAGATTAAGAATGGCAAACCAGGGCGCCTGGGTGGCTCAGTTGGTTGGGCGACTGCCTTCGGCTCAGGTCATGATCCTGGAGTCCCGGGATCGAGTCCCGCATCGGGCTCCCTGCTCAGCGGGGAGTCTGCTTCTCCCCTGACCCTCTTCCCTCTCGTGCTCTGTCTCTCATTCTCTCTCTCTCAAAAAAAAAAAAAAAAAGAATGGCAAACCACTTTGTGCTCATCAGCTTGATTCCCTTCAGTTGTCCTAGACTTTCCAAGGTGGGGGGGGGGTGTCTCACTTGACGCCATTTTGCATTTCAGAGCAGATCCTTTCCTATGACAGTAACACTATTTCTCAGGTGTTTCCTTACTCTACCACTCTGCATTTGAAGCAAGGCATGTTCCTTATTTCAAGATTCAATATTCCAGTCATGAAATAAAACAAGTCTAAGAAAATTTAATAACCCCTTTTTAAGCAAAAATCAACTCTCTAGAAACAAATATAAACTGCTAACTAAAAACTTAAAAAAAAATATGTTCTAAGATTAAAGGCAAGACAAAAATAACCAGAGGGTGAGTATTTTTATTCAAAGATTTCATGGAAGCCAGAAATACCCACAAGGTGAGGCAAGAAAGGGTAGTAACTGAAAGCCCGCAGGCTCTGGAGTCAGACAAGCTAGGTTTGCATCCTGGCTGTGCCTCTCCAAGCTTGTGACCAATCTTGCAGATTTACTGGACCTCTTTATCTTCTGTAAAATGGGGACAACAAAAAAACACCTACTACAGAGGAGTGCTGTGGGGCTAAAAATGAGAGAATGTACTAAAAGTGCAATGCCTTGTATTGTAAGTAATCAATACATTTTAGTTATTATTATTTGCAAGTGCCATGTAGAAAGATACTTATTTTTTTTTACTATTAGGACAAAAGGGAAACATTTCTAAAAAGATTGAGAAAATGAAAAAATATGAATTCCATACCAATAAATAGATATTAACATATTTTCTTCATATGCCTTATTTATTTTCTCAGGGAATTTCAAAGGTTTTCCATTTTTTTACAACTACAACCATTGTAAAAGCAATGTCACAGTTATTAAGGAAAAAGAGACGTTGATTAAAAGTAAGCTCTTGTGAGTGAACAGTGTAGAAGAATGCTGATAGTTTCTGTTAGGACAACTGGAACTTGTTCCTTACCACCTATTAATTACTTGAAATTACATTTACAGTGCTGTAGGCTAGATGGTCACTGGCCTCTCACAGACAGTAGGATCATTTTAATAAACCTAAACTTCAAAAAGGTTAAGTATATAACGAAATAGAAGCTCTTAAATGTTCCCAGTTATGTTTTAATTGGTTTGACCCCTCTGCTAAACAACTTGGCAGTGGGTATCCAACAAAATCCATAAAACTGTAAGGACCATTGGACCCAGGAATAATCCAAAAAAGGTTATGAATGACAATTAATGGGATTCTTTTCTCTCTTTCTTTCATTTCTTTTTGATAACAGCATTATTGGTATATAATTCACATTTCATTCAATCCAATTAAGTGTACAGTTCAATGGTTTTTAGTATATTCAGAGTGGTGCAACCATCATCACAATGAATTTTAGAATGTTTGCCTCAAAAAGAAACCCAACATCGTTTGGTTATCATCCCCCAATTCCATCTCTGCACTGAAGGCTAAGCAACCACTAATCCTTTCTGTATCTACGGATTTGCCTATTCTGGACATTTCATATAAATAGAGTCATTATGCTAAGTGAAAGAAACCAGTCACAAAAGACTATATATGTTTTTGAGGATCATCCATGTTACACCATACATCAATACCTCCTTTTCATGGCCAAATATTCCATTGTTTAGATATACCACGTTTAATTTATGTGTTCATCAGTTGGTGGACATTTGTGTCGTTTCACCTTTTGGCTTCTATGAATAATGCTATTATGAACATTCATGGACAAGTTTTTTTTTAATTTTTAAAAATTTTTATTTTTTAAGGAATCTCTACACCCAATACGGAGCTTAAAGTTACAACCCTGAGATCAAGAGTTGTATGCTCTGACTGAGCCAGCCAGGCGCCCTACATAGACAAGTTTTTGCTTGGACATACTCATTTTTCTTGGCTACCTATCTCGAAGTAGAATTTATATGATTCTTACAGGAGTGAAAATCATGGTCCAACAATGTAATTATGCTGCACTCCCAAAGGTATTATGCAGAAATACTACACTCTCAAAAATACTCTGTAGAAAAATGTTGGCCATGTAGAAGGAAAACCACATAGTAATATGGAAAAAGGCTACATGAAGTGAAAAAAGGATAAAACCCACTTAAAATCCTTCCTGGGCTTCCCATCCTCTGCTCTGTCCTATGGACCTAAGGACCTCAATTCTCTCCCCCTCAATTCTCAGGACCAGCTATATACACTACCCTTCAGAGATTTTTTTTTTTTTTTTTACAACCTTTTAGCTTCAGAACCCTTGTACATGTTGTTCCCCTGCCTGTATCACTTTTTCCCCCACTTCTTTGCCCAGTGGTTTCAAGTCTCATCTTAAATGTCACTTCCTCAGAAAAACCTTCTTTGACATCCCTACCTAGTCTAAGGTTAAGTATTTCCATAGTAGTCTGCAATTTTCCATCTTAATACTTTTGATACTGGTAATTGTTTATTCAGTTAGTAATCAAATATTTAAAGGTTATTACATGCAGGGATACAGAGTGAAACAAAACACGCAAGATCCCTGCCATCCTAGACCTTATATACTAGGGAGGGAATTCATGCACACGTATACAAGTCAATGTACTGGGTAATTTTATTTTTTATTTCATTTTATTCCACTGTAGTTAACATGCAGTGTTATATTAGTTTCTGCTGTACAATATACTGATTCAACAGTTCCACATATTACTCAGTGCTCATCAGCTAAGTGTACTATGTATTCCCTTCATCTATTTCACCCACCCCCCCCCTTTCTGGTAACCATATGTTCTCTATATTTGAGTCTGGTTTTTTTGGTTTCTCTCTTTTCCTTCGTTAGCTATTTTGTATCTTAAATTCCACAATGAGTGAAATCATGTATTTGTCTTTCTCTGATTGGCTTATTTCACTTAGCATTATACTCTCTAGATCCAGTCTTGTTGCAAATGGCAAGATTTCATCATTTTTATGGCTGAGTAATATTCCACATCTTCTTTATCCTTTCATCTATTGATGGATACCTGGGCTGCTTCCATAGTTTGGCTAGTGTAAATAATGCTGCAATAAACTTAGGCGTGCACATATCCCTTCAAACTAGTGTTTCTGTATTCTTTGGGTAAATATGTACCGAGTAATTTTAGATAATGATAATTAGCTTAATATTTATCCTGTTTGGATTGTACACTCCATGAAGGCAGGGGCTATTTCTGTCTTGGTTACTTCCAGTTTGCTAGAGCTTACCACTGCGTCTGGCCACCTGAATAAGCTCAATACAAATTTTTTTCAATGACTGGTAAAATAGGCATATAAAAAACAGAAATGGAAAACACAAAGGAGACTACCCCTATAAATGGTTGAGTTTTTTTCCCCTTTCCTCTTTCAAAACTTTCTGTAATTCCACATATTCTTTCTATAACTAAAACAAAAGATGAGCCAAAAATTACCATAGGTAAAAGAACCTCAAATAAAACACATTTATATGTCACCACATACTCGTTAAACACCTGGTAATAAAACCTACTCAAATACTCAGATGTGTTGGTTCAGTGAATAGAATTCCCTTGGCACATTACCAAGCAGGTTCCCCGCCATCAATAGTATAATTTACCTTTTAAAAGGCCTTTAACACCCAAGACGGTGCTTAAGGATATGATCCTCCAAACTGCCAGATTTCTAAAGTGCTTGACAGTCTACCTCCATCCACTATGTGCCACCGGAAAAAAAACCGCAATTCTACTTATACGTAATAGACAATTTTTTGCGAGGTCAACAAAGAATGCAAAATCTTTACACAACAGAACACCAGCCCCTTCCCAATAAATTCTTCTTACAAGTCCTAGACACTTATCAGGTTGGATAACATTAGGTAGCTTTGCGGTAAGCCAAAAGAGCATCCAGACAGAACCCCACCCCCAAGCGGAGCACTCAGCCCCTTCTTTCTTCCCCGGGGCGCATGCGCAGCGTACTCTCCGAACAACGCACGCCTCTGCCAGCAAGCAGAGGGAGCTTACGTCACCGTGAGCTGCTGATGTGCCCTTCCGCTTCTCCTAGGAAAACGAGTCCGCGCACCTTTGACTTTCCTTAGCCTGTAGGAAATGTCTTCCCTCCTTCTACCCCAGTACTAAAGACTTCCCCCGCCCGTCTCCAACAGCCAGCTTTTTACCGGACTCCTCTGTACGTTCGTTGGACGGTGAAGGCCACGGAAAGATAAAAAGGGGAGGAAGAAGGACCACTTCAGCGTTGTTTACAGGGAGTAAGCAAGTCTAGGAATCGGTCCGCGAGGGCGGAGCTGAGGAAGCCGGCACTTTTTCCTTCCCTCCCCTCCCTCCCCAGCCTTCCCCGCGAGCGGACGCGGCAGCGCCTCTGTCTCGCTTTTTCTTATTTTCTCCCCCTTTCCCCTTCCTTTTTTTTTCCTTTTACCCTCCTTCCCCCCCTTTCACCATTTCCCCTCGAAGACACTTCCCCCGGGCAGGGGCAGAGCCGGTCTCACTCCCCGCCTCTCCCCGGCCCCCGCCGCCCTATGGCGAGAGGGAACCCCCTCCCCACCCGGGCACTAGCGGCGGCGGTTGGAGGAGTGGGACCGGCGGTGGCCGCGGCAGCCTCAGGTCCGGGGGAGTCATGGAACTAATTCGCTGACCCACCGGCCGCAGCCGTGCGTCCAGCTCGATCGCCAGCGCCCGCGCCCCCCCCCCCGGCCCGGTTCCCCCTCTTCTCCCTCAGTCGGTCCCGTCCTTGTCCCGCGCGCCCCGCCGCCGCGCGCTGAGGAAAATGGGGTGGTAACGGGCCCCCGGATGACCCCGCGTCACCACTGTGAGGCCTACAGCTCCGCCGGGGAGGAGGAGGAGGAGGAGGAGGAAGAGGAGGAGAAGGTGAGGGGGCGGGGGGACTCGCTGCGTCTCCGCGCCCCGCGCTCGCGCACCCCCTCCCCATGCCCCCCCACCCCACCCCTTGCCCGCGCTGCCCGAAGGGAAGCTCCCGGAGCCGCGCGCTCCTTGGCTAAGGCCCGGCCCCCGCCTCCCCCCTTCAAAGGAAACCTTCGGGACCACCCCCCACTCCCTCCTCTCCATGCCAGAACTGTTCGGCACTTGCCCAGTTTGTAAACGGCTCTGTCGTGTTCCCTTTCGGGCCAGTTTTTCCGTCAGCGAGTAACTTTTGTAGCAACAGCAAATTGCCTATTCGTGCACATTCTAGGCACCGCAAGCGGGTCTGATACACAAAGAAGCGGACACACCCCCCACCCTTAGACTTCAACGCTACTGCGGGAGCCAGAGGAATATAATTTACATTGCAAAGCGGAGTGAATGCCAAACGAGCCGTTGAACGGCCAGTGCTGCGGGAATTCGGGGGGAACGTTACCCCAGGTTTGGGTGGGTGGGGGAGATTGGAGAGGAGGTGAGATTTGAGTTGAACCCTGAAGGACAGGTAGAAAAGTACCGAAATTTTGAAAAGAGGGCAGGTCCTCTCTTGAGCTATAGGTTCCATTGCAGGTCATTTGGGCAAGAGTTGAGAATTGGGTAGCAAAATAGTGGAAGGTATGCCTGGGGAGGTAGACTGGAATCAGACTGAAGATTTTTTGAATGTCAAGCTTAAGTATTTAGCTTTTATTCTGTCAGTGGGGAGCGCCTCAGCGTTTGAGGAGCAGAGTGTGCTGTTAGTAACACTTGTTGAAGCTTTTTATCTGACAGGCATTGTTCAAAGTGGTTTGCAACTCGTTGAATCCTCACAAGGACTCCTTGTGAGGCAGGTAGTTCAGGAGCCTCATTTTACAGAGGAGGGAAACTGAGGGTCCACAATACCCCGTGGGTGACACAGCTAGAGCCCAGTGGCCAGAATTCAAACCCGAGCAGTCTGACTATGCTATATGGTCTCTATCCCAAAATGAATTTGTTGAAAACATTAAGGATAGTATTACTTGCTTCCAGCTTTTGCACATCATTTGTGGTAGATGAAATAGAAGGGAGTGGGTAAGTAGATTAAGAAAGAACCAATAGGGTTTAGATTTGCTAATCTGGAACCAGAAAGATGAGAGATTCTGAACTTCTAGTCTAGGATAAATTTCTTAATACTGATGAAGAGCAGACTAGTTAGAATCATCATGTGTTGGGAAGGCATGGTAGAGATTTTCAATTACAGATGACCGAGTTTATGTGGCAGTTTGACTCCTAGTAGGTTAGAGTGGAACTCTGTAATGTTTCTTGGTCAAGATTGGAAGCTGAGAGTGTGTATACATGTTTTATTCTGATCGTATAATACTTTAAAAATGAAAGATACTCACTTTTCTGTGCATGTTTCTTCATCTTCAAAATGGGCTTAATGATAATACCAACCTTATGAGGTTGCATAAGGATTAAATGAGTTAATACGGCATAGTACTTTGAACAGTATCTGGCCAAGTAGTAAGCACTTACTGCTTTGACTTATTAAGAACTTAAGTGTGAGCTATTTGTTAGACGTAGTGCTAAACTCTGGAAAGTGTTTGCCATCAAAGAACTCAATGGTTAGTAGGAGAGACAGGTCTACAAATAATTATCACAGAGCAATTAAGTGCAAAAGTAGAATTATGTCTAAGTACAGATGTAAGAAGGCAGGGTACTAGTAGCAGACCTTTGCAGATGACAGCTCTGTAGGAAGGGGAGTGCCAGCTAGAGGAGGACAATTCAGGCTGAAAGAACTGTGTGGAAAGGCATGGAGTTAGGGAAACAAATAGCGGGCTGTTTCGGAATTACAAGTACCTGTAGTTAATTATTAGGTTAGGGGCGTGAAGTCAAGGAGATGGTCACATTAATAAATCCCTCTTTTTAGAATAGGAACTAAGATACAGAAGTCTGCATCAGTACAAAATTATAAATGGAGTTGGTGTCAATGGTGATAATAAATATAATTCTGTATTAATAAAGTTTGTGTTTACCCAACACCGTGCAGTACTTTTCCTTAGAATAGCAGGAGACTCTGTATTTAGATTTACAGTATAGTTTATGCCGTACAATAACTTTATTCACTCATACATTAAGCTATTTGATAAACATGGAGAAAGAAACAGAAGTAATTGAAAGACTGGCAGGAGAAATGTTAAACTATCATAAAGTTAGAAGTGTGTGGAATATGCCAACCAAAAGAGTCTTTTTGTTTCTTAGTTCCTAGAGACTTCTATCTGAGCATTAAAAATTCTGGATATGATTAATGGCATAAAATAATAAGATACAACTGAAAAGTTCTAGTATTTAAAACAGTAAAATTATATTTTAAGTGTATTTTGTTCAGCAGGTTTATTCAGCAGGTTTCATTATTCATGTAACTCAGTCTATTTTACACATTAGAAAACAGGCTAATGCATTATCAGAAAAGTAAAACTCAAGCTAATGCTCTCTTCACTGTATCATTGTCTTACTAGAATCGTTTATTTATTTTTAAAGATTTTATTTATTTGTCAGAGCGAGCGAGAGAGAGCACAAGCAGGGGGGAGCGGCAGGCAGAGGGAGAAGCAGGCTCTCTGCTGAGCAAGGAGCCCGATTCGGGACTCAATCCCAGGATCCTGGCATCATGACCTGAGCCGAAGGCAGACGCTTAACCGACTGAGCCACCCAGGCGTCCTTCTTTTTTGTTTTTTTTTTTTAAAGATTTTATTTGTTTATATGGGGGGGGCGGTGCAGAGGGAGAAGGAGACTCCTCCTGAGCAGGGAGCCCAACAATGACAATTCTGGGCTCAGTCCCAGCACCCTGAGATCATGCCCCAGGCCAAAGACAGACGCTCAACCAGCTGAGCCACCCAGACACCCTGTCTTACTGGAATCTCAGAAAAAGAGTGTAAAAGGTATCCTGCTAATATAAGCACTTCCATCAATAATGTGTTTGGCCCCCCGGGGCGGGGGTGGGCTGTCCACATTATTAACTTGTACATCTATCGTTTCATCTGTCATTAATATTTCACCCCATTTGTTTTATCATTTGTCCTCTCTCTCTCCCATACATACATGTGTATATATATATATATATATATATAGCATATATTACAGTTCTTTTCTCCCAAGTATTTTAGTGTGTATTTCCTAAGAATAGGGATGTTCTTACAGCATCACAGTAAAGTTATCAACTGTAGTAAGTTTAACATTGATACTTTTATTTGTCCATGTTCCCATTATGTCAGTTGGCCCAATAATGACCTTTATAGGATTTTATCTTCCCAGTACAGGCTTGAGTCTAGGGTCAGATATTGAACTTTCATTTTTCTGTAGTCTCATTTGATCTGGAATATTTCCTCCATCCTTTTTCCTTTCACTTGGGTTATTTATACTTTATTTTTAAAAGATAAAGGAAATTTGAACTCTTTATCCTTTGTTACATTCCCCTAGTGTGAGCAAAGAATGATTTCCTTTATTTTCTAGTCTTCATATGGTGTATTACATTAATTGATTTCCTGAATGTTAAACCAACTTTGCATTCCTGGGCTAAGTCCCACTCATTTATGGTATATAATCCTTTTTTTATGTTGCCAGATTGAGTTTGCTAGTATTTCGTTGAGGAATTCTGCATATGTGTTTAGAAGAGATGTTCTCAGTAGTTTTATAATGCTGTTGTCTTTGCTTAACTGGCCTCATAAAATGAGTTGAGAAGTGATCTTCCTCTACTCTTTGGAGGAGATTGTGAAGAATTTTAAACATTTTTTATAGATGTTTGGGTAGAATTCATTAGTGAAACCACTTGGGCATAGGCTTTTCTTTGACAATTGTTTACTAATTCAATTTGTTATATGGCTCTTAAGCTTTTCTATTTCTTTTTAAAGTCAGTTTTGATAATTTGTGGTTCTAACTAGTTGTCCATTTCATGCAAAGTTGTCCAATTTATTTGCAAACCATTGTTCATAAAATTCCTTTATAACACCTTTTTTTCCCTACAACATAGGTAGTAATGTCTCCTTTTATTCCTGATTTTAGTACTTCATCTTTTCTGTTTTTATTTGCTCAGTGTAGCTAGAGGTTTGCCAATTTTGTTGATCTTTTCAAAGAACCAACTTTTGGTTTCATTGATTTTGTCTATTTTTCTATTCCTTCATTAATTTCCACTCTAATTTTTCTTCTGATTTGCTTTAAGTATAGTTTGCTCTACTTGCATCCCATAAGTTTTGGTATGTTTTCTTCATTACCTCAAAGTATTTTCTTTTTTTTTTTTAAAGATTTTATTTATTTATTCATGAGAGACAGAGGGAGAGAGAGAGAGGGGGAGAGAGAGAGAGAGAGAAGCAGAGGAAGAAGCAGACTCCCCACCCAGCAGGGAGCCCGATGCGGGATTCGATCCCAGGACCCTGGGATCATGCCCTGAGCCGAAGGCAGACGCTTAACCATCTGAGCCACCCAGGCGCCCACCTCAGAGTATTTTCTAATTTTCCTTGTGATTGCTTCTTTGACCCAGATTCCTTTGTTTTAAAAAAATTGTTAAATCATCTAAGTATTTGAAAATCTTACTTAGGGTCTTAACTGTAGGAAATTGGAGAACAGGAATCTCTTGAACCTTCTTATTCATGATTTATCTTGTGTATCCCTCTCTGTTCCCCATCTCTCCCTCCTAAAAGTAATCTTCCAAGGAAACATTTTGAGGGAAGAGCAATCACGGGAGCAGCCAGCCATTGGGGTGTGTTGAGAAGGCTGGGGGATCCTGGTGAGCCACCCTGTTGGGTGTAGCTAATAGAATGAAGTAGTTTGGTAAGTTTTGACAAGAGTTAATAAATTACAGACTAAAGATGGTTTAACATCTGCCTTCAGTTCAGGTCATGATCCCGGGGTCCTGGGATCGAACCCCCCCCACCCCCTGCTCAGCAGGGAGTCTGCTTCTCCTTCTCTCCCTGCCTCTCCCCCTGCTTATGCTCACTCTGTCTCTCTCTCTCAAATGAATAAAATCTTAAAAAGAATAAATCTCTAGGGGTGCCTGTGTGGCTCAGTCGTTAAGCATCTGCCTTTGGCTTAGGTCATGATCCCAGGGTCCCCGCATTAGGCTCCCTGCTCCGTGGGAGGCCTTCTTCTTCCTCTCCCACTCCCCCCTGCTTGTGTTCCCTCTCTCGCTGTGTCTCTCTGTCAAATAAATAAAATCTTTAAAAAAAAAAATAAATCTCTAAAAAAAAATAAGGTATAGAAGAAACCTTAGAACCAATAAACCAAATTTAATCTCCATCCAGTAGAGGTGTTTTTTCTGAAGATCTCTTGACAGATGGTCATCTAGTTTACACTCCATTTCTAAGGTTAATATTTATATCTGCTTTAGATGAAATTATAGTGAGTTTATTTATCTAGTTATGGAAAATCTGAGAAAAGTACCAAGGCAACAAATTGGAATCTCAGCAGAATGTAACAGTAGGTGGAATATAACAAGATGACCTTTTTTTAAGAAGAAAGAATACATTTACAGTCCTGAACAAGGTTGTCCCCCCTCCCCGCCAAAAAAAGGGGCTCCAAAACTATGTGCACAATGGGGTGGGGCAGGTAGAGAGGGAATTTTCCTAAGAGTGTACCTTAGAAAGTCTTAAGAGTTGATAGTGTGGTATGGATTCAAAAAAGTAGCTAATGATTTTAGACTGCATTTAGAAGAGCAAAAGTCATGTCATGTGAGGAAATCCTGAACAGTTCAGCTGTGAAAAAGATGAATTGGTGGGCATGCTAGCCACCTTCAAACATTTGAAGAATTGGCCTGTGAAAGAGAGTTTAGACTTGGGTTTGTTTTGTTTTTGGCCCCAGGGATTGAAACCAATCTTTGGTTGAGTCCCTGTTTCATCAGGATTCTACGAGTGATAAAAAAATAATATTGGTAGATATCATTTCAGTATTATAATGTTTATCATTTCATAGGGGAAATAGTGGGAAGCTGCTTTCAGGAGGGAGAGAAATCACACCAGATTAGAGAATCAAGAGTTCTTGGAAGAAGTTACCTTTGAAATGGACCTTTTGGGTTAGGTATTATTTCTTTTCCCTGTTATTTACCGTTTTTTTCTTGGTATAAAAAGTACTTAATGCTCATTATAGGAAATTTGCAAAAACTCAGAAGTTTAAAGAAGCAAAATGAAAAAAATCACAATCCAGTTAACCAGAGGTAGTCTGCAGTAGGTTCTATAGCAAATAGGCAAAGTATGTGAAGTGACGAATAAGAAAGGGATAGTACCTAGAGGTGGGGGTGAAGGGGGCATGGAAATTGAAGTTTGTTATTTGTTTTTTATAATTAATTTTAAATTTTATTTAAAAAATCAGAACTTTTCATATGTTAATTCTAGGTATTTAAATTTTTTTAAAATCCCACGAATCTGAAGCACATACATAATAACAGGTACCTAGTTGAAAAATGAAATAGTTATATGAGGTTTATAATGAAGAACAGCATTCTCCTGTTGCTGGATTTTCTAACCCTTTTCTCACAGGTTAACCTCTGAGTGCTTATATGTTTCTCTTGTTATTTAAGATCATATTTTCAAATAACTTGCCCTACTGTCTTTTGATATTTCAGTTTTAGGTATTATTTATGGTTTGCCTACTGTGACATATAAAGATGTAGTGCTCATTCTATCTTCTAATACCTCCCATCTTCCCAATGCAGTTTTATCTATTCATTAAAGTCACTCTTCAGTATTTTCCCTATTATTGCTATGTAAATGTTGTGGTATATTATTACATTTACCTTCTTGCATAATCTTTTTTTCTGAAGTTAATTACCTCTTCAGTTCCTTAGCTTTCATCAAATCTAGTTGAGTCTTGCCATATCTTCAGCTTCTCAATCTAATTTTCTTTTCTTAAAGATTTATTTATTTTTTAATTTTTTTTTATTTCTCAGAGAGAGAGAGAGTAAGCACACAGGGGGAGTGGCAGGCAGAGGGAGAAGCAGGCTCCCCACTGAGCAAGGAACCCGATGTGGGACTCCATCCCAGGACCCTGGGTTCATGAGCTGAAGGCAGACGTTTAATCAGCTGAGCCACCCAGGCGTCCCTCAGTCTAATTTTCTACACATGGTTGTACTTCTCAAATCTCTAATTTCTTTTCTTCCTTTTTCTTTCTTTCTTTCTTTCTTTTTTTTTTTCTTCTCTTTTCTTTTCTTTTCTTTTCTTTTCTTTTCCTTTCTTTTCTTTTCTTTTCTTTCTTTTTAAACCTAAAGACATCTGTCCTGGGCTTTCATTTGCACTGCTCTGATCTAGACTTTTGCTCTTTAGGTTTGCTCATTTTAGAGGGCCAGTCACCTGATTGTTGAGTTTTTCTAGATCAACACTCTCCAGTAGAACTTTCTGCCAGTGATAGTGCAGAAAAGGAACATTTCTATTTGATGCAGTATCCACTAACCACATATGGCTATTGAGCATTTGAAATGGGGCTAGTGTGACTGAGGAATTATATTTTAACTTTATTCAGTTCTAATATAAATGGCCATATGTGTAGCTAGTGGACACTATATAATTGGAAGCACAAATAAAGATGGTTTTATACTTAAGGGGATGGTTTCATACTGATTATACGGGAGTGGGTGGGATTTAATGTAATGGATGTAATTTTTTTTAATGAAGAAAAAGGTTAGTAACCCTTATCTGATGAGATTTTTAAGAGGAATATTTGGGACCACTATTAAGAATAGCTAGTATAAAAATTCCCATGATTTAAAATTTGTTGACACAATTTGAGATGCAATAATGTATTTTCATCAGAGTCTGTAAGTTCTATCAGCTATATGGCCATGTTTTTATTCTCTTTACAACTGAGTTTCAAATATAAAGTGAATATTTTTAGGTAACTGATTATTATTGTAATATTTTAATATATGATGTTTTAAAGAGCTGTAAAACCCGATATTGCCTCATAACATTCTTATTTTGTTTTATGAATTGCTTAATAGGAACCAACATATTTATACAGTGCTCAGTGTATTTTAGAATTAAAGAAAAAGCATTGTTTTATATTTGATTTTATAGGTAGCTACATCAAGCTGGGAGGCAGGCAGATCCAGAGGATATCATGAAGTTTCCAGGGCCTTTGGAAAACCAGAGATTGTCTTTCCTGTTGGAAAAGGCAATCTCTAGGGAAGCCCAGATGTGGAAGGTGAATGTGCCGAAAATGCCTACAAATCAGGTAATGATTTTTCTCGTCACTGTAGATAGATGACTTCTTTTAGAAATAAGCGTACTGTCATAAAGTGGTATCTTGACACTGGATTGAAGAAATATATACCATTAAAGGATATGCTCTGTTCTTTATTTGAGAAACCTCCCCTTGTTTTATTCTGAAATAGAACAAGAATGAATTTTTTGTTTTTGTTTGCTTGTTTTGTTATCTGAGTTACAGCTTTAGGAAGGTAGATATATTCTCTTTCTTTGTAGACCAATACTAACAGTAGTAAGCTATCTTTATTTCTAAGTATATAGTTAGCTGTGGAGGCTGAAATTATCTTTAGTAAACAAAAATTTGTTCTGTCTTTCTTGAATATTTATAAGGAGTTAAAGTAAGCTACTAAGGTAATGCTAATGTTGGACACTTCTGGGGAAATAGCCAGCTTACCTCTCGATTACTGTTAGCTATATGCCTTTTCTTTTAGAAGTTTTTATGCGTCTATCATCTAATCCTATCAGTGTTATTTCTGACAATAACTATAAAGTTTATGCACTCCCAGAGCTTATTGTATAAGTTCTTTTTATCCCTAATACCTAGCACTGTGCTTGGGATAAAGAATAGTGGCCAAGAAATTTTTGATTTTTGATTTGTAGGTGAATGAATAGCAAATATCTAAGTTCCTCCTTTGGTTTAGGTTAACCTTTGTTCATAGGTTATTGAAATCTATATGCATTTTCTACTAACCTACTTCTGTCATTCTTTCTCACAAGCTGAAGAAATATGTTTTGCATTTACTGTTACTTGTCATTTAACAGATTGAAAATAAGTTAACCTGAGTGAATATCTTTTAAGCTAGGAACATTTACATATGCTGTCACATTTACTATCTTATTATATCCTTTGAAATAGGCAGTAGTCCCACTTTGCTTAAGACTTTAATAAGTAGTAGAGGTATAATTTGAACTTGATGTAGTTCTCTTTCCATTATACTTTGTTTTTCAGTTTTTATTTTTGTGTGCCTGTGTGATTTTTTAGATTACTTGGGGATTCAATCATTCAATAAATGTTCATTCAGTATCTGCTACGTTCTGAGCACTTCTAAACATTGGGGATACATCAGTGAGAAAAACAGAAATTCCTACCCTTATGTTCTGACATTCTGGTAAGCCTCAAAGCTTTAATACGGCTGGCTTTAGAACCATTTCTTTCTTCCTTCTGCTGTCTCCTTGAGTCAACATGTAACCAGTGATAATATTCTTTTACAACATGGTCTTTGAAGGTAATATTCTACCAAGATTATAGTATATTGCTATATTATCACTTAATCTGGCCTATTTCTGTAGGTGATTTAACAAGTATTACTGAGGTAATACCAGAGAACAGAACAGTATTAGAACTTTGAAGAGGGAACTACTTAAGGATTTGCCTTTAGTGATATCAAGTAGAAGCCAAAGTTAATTCTTATAAAATGTGGGTGGGCTTGTTCTGAGGGGGATAGGGGACAAGACTGGGATGAGAGTAAAGAGCTGTAGTAGCTCAAGCCGCTTGCTGTAGTCACCCCCAAGGACGCCTGTCTATTCTAGTTCTAATTTCTTTGTTTTCTTCTGCCACTCTCAGGGACTGGCTTTTCTATTTCTCTTTCCACTATTGATTCTAACCATGATTTCCCTCCTAATTGATTCTTTGCAGAAAAGAAACACAGTCTTGTCATTAAGCCATAAACATACTTTTCCAGCTTTTCTAATTTTTTTTTAAGTGCTGGTAAAATGGAAAAATAAAATATTTTAAAGGTTTCTGTTATGCTTCTTTCCTTCAGTTTCCTTGTCTTTCTTTCTCTACCTCTGGATCATTCTCACAATTCTCTTTTAATTTGCATCCCCTATCTTCAAGTTTAGGAAAGAGTGGTCACACAAGAGTATTATATACCTGTCACTCCCCTTCTGTATGCTCCCACAGCACTTTACTTCTTTACGATAGCACACAATATTATAATTTCCTGATGATTTGATTGTGAGTTCCCTTGGGGTTGGGTTGTGTCATTTTTGTTTACTGGCATATAATAGATTCCCAGTAAACATCTATAAAAATGAACATTATCATTTCTTTATAATTAGTCCAGGTTAGAGAAGTTATTTTATATAATAATGTACTTTCGAGTACACAATAATTTTGTTATATGAATTTGGGAGAAAAAAATTGAAGACTGGTCCAAGTGACATTCACTTTCAGATATTCTCTATTTTGCTAAAGTGCTTTTGATATGCAAAGATAAAACTTTGCTTCAAGCTGTTAAAATGGTTTTCGTTAGAATTTTGAAACTCTAAGGAGTCTTAAAGGCCATATAATTTCGTGGTTTCTGAATACAGGATCCTGAGCCACTGGGCTGCTGAGTGCATCAGAATCACCCAGGAGGCTTCTTACAGAGATTCCAGGCCTCATCCAGACCTGTTGGGCTGGTGGTAGCAATTGTGGAAATTTGTTTTATTAATATGCATTAGGTTTGGGAGACACTGATTTACTCTAACCACACAGTGGGAAAGTTCTTCTAACATCCCTGGTAAGTGATTCTCTCTGCTTTGGATACTTTGTCCATTCTACTGTGGGAAAACTATAAATTATTGGAAAGATTTTCCTAAATTGAACCTGAAAACTGCTGCTTTCTAGTGGCTACTTATTAGTTCTGGTTTTGTCCCCTGGAGCAATACAGAATAAATCTGTGTCTTATTTTAAATGGTAGCCCTTTATCTACTCAAAGATGTGGTGAGCCCACAAAGTCATCCTCTCTTTTCCTGATTGAACATCCCTTGTTTTTTAATCATTATTTGACAAGATTTCTCTTTTACCACCCCAGATCTTCTTTTTCCAGATACACTCTTTTTGTTTGTTTCTTAAGTTGTGACATTTCATTTGTAGTCATTAATGGACAATGAAGTGAAACTATTGCCTCACTTTATCTTGGCTTGATAATTTTGTTAAACTAGCCCTAAATTTTATTGTTTTGGCAGCAATGTCATATCGGCTTACTGAACTTGTTTTTAAAACCTTGTTTTCTCTAGTTTTAAGCAAAGTTTCCTTTGTGCTAGACGTACTTTTAGTTTTTGGCCTAGGTATGGTGGTGTTTATTCTTACTAAATTTAAAGTTGTCAATTCTGACCATTTTTCTGGCTTTAAAATTATGATTGTTATCTTATATGTTGACTTTGTCATTCTTGTATAATCTGTGGATTTGGTAAATAAATAAATCTATTTATCCTGTAGGTTGGTTTCTCTTTTTTCTTTTCCTTAAACAGTTTATTGAAGTATAATGTACAGAAAAGTACACAGATCTTAAGTGTACAGCTGTAAAATACACCACTTCACTGGCACTGCAGAAGCCCCCTTCCGTCCTCTTGTAGTTACTACCATCTACTCCCCCAGACCAAGAAAACACTGTCCTAATATCACAGATTAGTTTTTCCTGGTTTTGAATTTTATACATATATATGGAAACACAGAGTATGAACTGGCCTCTTGTTCAATATTTTTTTATGTGAGATTCATCTGTGTTACTTCATGTAGCCATAATTAATTTATTCTCATTGCCATGCATAATTCTTTGAATTTATCTCTTCTGTTGATGGTCATTAGTGTCATCTTCTTGTGCATGTCTCAGTGAACCATATGTGCGTGTCTTTTTTAATATATTTTTAGGGCTGGAATTGCTAGAACCTAGAATATGTGTATATCAGTTTTAGTAGATAACCACCAATTGTTCCAAAGTTGTTATACCACTATTATGTCACATTTTTTGTGGGTTTTTTTGTTTTGTTTTGTTTTTGTTTTGTTTTGTTTTTACCCCTTCTAGCAGAGTATGAAAATCCTGAGTTGCTCTCCATCCTCGTCAACCCTTGGTATTGTCTTTTCATTTTAGTTATTCTGGTGAGTGTATTATAGTATTACATTGGGTTTAATTTGCTTTTCTTTAATAACTAATGAAGTTCAGCTTTTCATATGTTTTTTGGCCATTAGATTTACTTTTTTGGTGAAATGTCTATTCAGATCTTTGATCTGGGTTTCTGCTGAGTTGTCTTTTTTGTTAATTGTTTTATAAGAGTTCTTTCTTTTGCAGACTATGTATTACAGATGTCTTCAACTCTCTTTGTGTTGAACTTTGATCAGTAGAAGTTCTTTATTTTTAATGACTCAAGTTATCAATTTTTTTTTCCTTTTTTGAAGAAATGTTTGTCTACTCCAATGTAATGAAGATATTCTCTTGCATTTTCTTCTGCAAAGTTGATTATTTTAGCCTTCACATTTAGATCTACATTCCAGTTGGGATTTTTTGGGGGGCAGGGTATGGTGTGAAGTAGGAGTCCATCATTTTATTCCATATAGAGAACCAGCACCATTTATTAAAAAGACACTTTTCTCTACTTCCCTGCACTTTTGTTATAAATCAAGTGACTACTGTAGGCCTATGAATATATTTGTGTGTCTCTTTCTTGCCTCTTTTCTTGTCATTGGTCCATTTGCTGCTCTTTAAATACTGCACTGCCATAATTATTATAGCATTATAGTAAGTGTTTGGTGGCATACATTTTGTTCTTTTTTGCAAGATTGTCTTGGCTATTCTTAGCCCTTCGCTCTTCCATATATATTTTAAAATATACTTGTCAATTAAAAAAAATTGGGAGGATTATTGAATCTGTCAATTTGGGGAGAATTGACATGCTTATAATAGGAGTCTTCCGATTCATGATGTAGAATATTTCTCCATTTTGTTTAAAGTTGGTCTTCAGTGTCTTTTTTTTTTTTTTTTTTTAAGATTTTATTTATTTGAGAGAGGGAGAAGGACAAACAGTCCCTCTGAGTTTGGAGCCCAATGTGGCGCTTGATCCCACAACCCTAAGATCATGACCTGAGCTGAAATCAAGAGTCAGACACTTAACTGAGCCACCTAGGAGCCCCGGTCTTCAGTTTCATTTAATAATCTTTGGTAGTTTAGGTTTATTCCTAGACACTTGAGTCTTGTTGAGGCTATT